TTGTGTGCGTATTATTGTAGCCATCTATTGTCTTGATCTACCTACACCACGGAAACAGCACCATCTAGGGACGAACATTATGACTCGTCTTAGTTACCTCCGGGGTTTCCTTTTATATCCTGGTTTGTTGCGTCACCTCCTCAAGTCTATCAGCATCGGGTTCGAGAGAGCACTTCACTCTGAGAGTGACCACGGGATCTATCCTGTAATCTACGGCACAGTGACTACCTACGTCTTCTGCAATACTCAGCCTTATAATCAGCCATCTCAAACCTGCTTTGTGTTGCGTGCACTTTCTGCTTGTTTATATGTTGATTAGTGTCATTTTGGTTAAAGTATGGTTAGGAATTTATTTTAAGTTCTTTGGCACTTTTTATACAACAAAGCATCATTTGTCATCACCACTTTTTATGGTCCGATTGTCTTTTTACCTGTTTGGGATCTGGGTAGGCAATATAACTATATTCTAAATCCCCAACTCGTAACAGTATATGGACAGGTGTTTGTTTATGTGTGTGTGTGTGTGTGTGTGTGTGTGTGTGTGTGTGAGTAAAAGAGAGTCTGTGTGCGTTCGTGTATATGTGTGTGTACTATATGGACAGGTGTTTGTTTTATGTGTGTGTGTGTGTGTGTGTGTGTGTGTGTGTGTGGCGGTGAACAGTCTTGGCTAGCAGTTCAAGAACAACATTAAACAGGTTATATGTCACATGGTTTAATTACTCTTAGCCAAGCCTAACCTAACCTAACCTAGCTTAAGCCTGCCTGTATAACACATAACCCACAACACTGATATAACCTAGGCATCACAAATCTAGCTAGTACAAGCCTGTAACCTAGCACCAACACAAGCACAACACAAACCTAACCTAACCTAACCTAACACAACCTAAGCTAACCTTCTTTCATTCTTGCACAACCTAACACAAGCTGGCCTACCCTAAAGCTAGCCTAAGCCTAGCTTCAACCTAACTTTTTCACAAGCTATCCCTGCCCTAACCTAACCTATCTAAGCCTAACCTAACACATCTCTTTTAGAAGTAAAGGTGTAAATGTTTAAAGTGTGTTGTATTCCCAAGTGTGTGATTGATACTTAAATGGTAAATGGAAGATTTGTAAGTACTTATATTCATTTATTGACTTTTGCCTATGAAAGTGTTTATGAAGTGTTAAGTGTTAAGAATGTGTGTAGTGAGAGAGTTTGCTGTACCGAGAGGTTAACAGAGAGAGAGAGAGAGAGTGAATGAAGGAGAAATGGACAGACAGACAGACAGACCAGAGGAAAGAAAGAAAGAGAGAGTGAATGAAAAGGAGAAATGGACAGACAGACAGACAGACAGAGAAGAAAGAAAGAGAGAGAATAGGTGAGAGAGAGAGAATGGTTGAAAGGGAAAATGGACAGACAGACAGACAGACAGAGAAAGAAAGAAGAGAGAGAGAGAAGAAATTGCACTAACGAAGAAACTGAAAATAAAGGGAAATAGAAAAGGAAGATGATGAGTGGAAAGATTAAAAAATAAAACGAAAGAAAATTGAAATACGAAATATAGGAGAAAGAAAGAAAGAAGAAAAAGACACAGACACAGATAAAAAAGATAAATAAAAGAAAGAGAGGAAGGAAACAGACTGACAGACAGTTAGATAGATAGATGGATGGGTAGATAGATAAGAAAAAAAGATAGAATTGAGAGAAATGAAGGAAAGAGAGAATGAGAGAGAGAGAGAGAGAGAGAGAGAGAGAATCAATATATACAGACACCATCCACCAGGTCTGTTAAAGGAAGATATCTTGGCTGTTGACTGTCTGTTGGGTCTCTGTTGTATTTCTTTCTTTCTTTCTTTCTTTCTTTCTTTCTTTCTTTCTTTTTCTTCTTTTCCATCCATTTCTGTCTACCTATTCCTCAGGCTGTGGTTTTTACCCACTCTCTCTCTCTCTCTCTCTCTCTCTCTCTCTCTCTCTCTCTCTCTCTCTCTTATTTGCTTTATCTAGTCACTCTTTGTATGTATGTATGTGTGTATGTATATGTATATGTATGTATGTGTAATGGCATAGCATGTATGTATGTAGATGTAATTCTCAATCTATCTATCTCACCTAACCTAACCTAACCAAATCTGCAAAGCCTGACCCTAACCTAACCTAACCCCAAGAAATAATTGTGGTTCGTTACTCAAGAATTTCCAGAGAGAAGGAATTTGTTAGTTGGGTGTAACAAGGGGTGTGTGTGTGTGTGTGTGTGTGTGTGTGTGTGTGTGTCCCACTCAGCTGGGTCAGCTTTCTAGCACAGGTCATAAAAGGAATAACTACACGTTTACGAGGTCATGGCGTGACAGTTTCGTATGACCTCTGATGAGAAGAGAACTTTTTTTTAGCTGGAAATTGACCCAAGTAGTTGAGGGGCAGTGGTGTGGTGGAATGTTGGGGGGGAGGAGGAGGAGGAGGAGGAGGAAGAGGAGAGAGAGAGGAGAAGAGGAGGAGGAGGAGGGAGGAGGAGGAAGAAAAAGAAGGGAAGGAGGAGCACGAAAGGGAAGATGACGAGGGGAAAAGGAGGAGAAAAGGTTAACCTAACCTAACCTAACCTAACCTAACCTAACCTAACCTAACCTAACCTAACCAAATCTAACCTAACCTAACCTGCTCCATATATCATCAAATCAATTACCTTATTTACTCATTTACAAATATATATAAAAAAAGTCGAGTTTCTATTAATAAAAATGACATAACTTGAATACTAACAAACGAATAATAATTACTACTTTGGTTCTTAATTCAGGTTTGCATAATCAACATTTTGATATTAATACTGTATGACGATTAAAACTCATATTATCAGTGAAAGAAAACAAATTATTATTTTCTTTGGCAATATTATTTAAATTTTCTTTCAATGTAAATCTATATCATTGGTTAATTATTTTCTAGAATTTTATTTCACAAATTTCTAAACTTCAATACGGGTTCAAAATCTTCAATGGATTATGTTGAATATCTCCACAGAAATGGTCCATATAAGGTTGATTGACAGGTAATAATAGCGAGAACACCTGACTGTATTCTAATTAAGGTAATTTACTCTACTTACCTGGCTGGTTTGAAGGCGAGAATCACAGGACAAGGATTCTGTGCCTACTGGTGCTCCTCATCTTCCTTCTCTTCTCTCACTTTTTTCTTCCTTTTCTCTATATTTATCTGGGTGTGTTAGCCTCTTCCTTCTCCCTCTCCTTCTCTCAAGTACCTCCTCCTCCTCCTCCTCCGAAACACCTCCTCCTCCTCCTCCAAGAGTGAAACACCTCCTCCTCCTCCTCCAAGAGTGAAACACCTCCTCCTCCTCCTCCTCCAAGAGTGAAACACCTCCTCCTCCTCCTCCAAGAGTGAAACACCTCCTCCTCCTCCTCCTCCTCCTCCAGTACAGTATCTTGACTACGTTCTCCAGAGTAAGGTTCCTCCATTACCTCCTCCTCCTCCAGAGTGGGGCCATCTCTCCCTCCATTACCTCCCTCTCTCCCTAGCGGCGACGGTGAGAGAAGGGAGCGTATGCCTCACACACACACAGTTTAGTCTCCCCTCGTAGGGACATAACAAACTCCCCTCACCACGAGCCTCGCTTGGGGAGATTCCGGCACCCATGGAACCGATAAGAAAAATTGGTTCTATCAAAATGATAAAGCCTCTAATATCGGAGTAATCTGGCCCCTTCGCCCCTCCCCTCACTAACCTTCCCCTCGGAGCCCGGAGAATCCCCTCTCTATTAGAATCATTCAACATTATCGTTTCAAGCATCTAAAGCGTGAAATTTGCTCCCCTTGTCATCCAATTGTTCTTCCTGACGCCGAGTGAGAGTCTCCACCCACCTATAAACTCTCTCAGTTGTTAGCTTTTTTTTGCTAAGTTAATGACGCTTTTGTTAATTTTCGCTAAAATAGATTTTCCTTATAGAGGCGGACGAAGGATGGCAGTGGTGGTCCTGAGAGACGAGCAGGAGGAAGGTGTTTTGTGTCCATCTTGAGTTTTGTTGTACAAGTTGTAACTCGAGCATCTGGCTGCTGAAAAACACCCTAACTGGCAACATCTCACTAGTTAGCTCTATCTGCAAATCGTTTAGCAGCCCTGGTTCACGGCACCTCCGGGCAAGAGGGGCACAAGGGAGATCCTTCTGCCCTCCATTTCTAGACGCGTTTCCTCGCTCATTTTTTAGATATTACCCTCTCCTGTGGCGGCAAAAACACGCCTGCCGAATATTTCCCGCGTCCTGGCCAGACACACATGGTAATATCGGGCCAGAAGCTCCCTGGAGGGCACCGTAGCCTTTCCTTTTTTCTATCACCTCAGCGACGGCCTGTACGCCTTTCAACATCGGTGTCGCCATTTTGTATATAGATGGCGCATTACTCGCTCCGTCGCCCTCACGGATAAGACTCCAGGAGCCGCTGGATTCGAACCTGGAAAATGGGATAGTGAGAGAGGGGGTGGGGTGGGGAGGAGGGAAGGAGCCCGCTGGAAGATATGAGTGGACGGGTGGATGACAACGTCGCACAGTAGGGCTTTATGTTAATGAGGGGGAATGTGTTGTTTAGGCGAGGTTTGGCGCGGGCATTATCTCTGAAGGCTGGTACTCTGCCCCTCCACTCCTGTTGACTGCTGGAGAAACTGCTACTGGAGGCACTGAAGAAGTAACTTCACACACCCTACACCGGGTACTTACAGCAGTGTTTTTTGGTCTTCTCTTTTAAGCCCGACAAGTTCCTCCTTCACTATATTCTTAAACAAATCAGTTTATCAGTATCTACTAAATATTGTGTATATCAGAAGTCTCCTCCTTGTCTTGTCTCCCGTCACCATGGCCAAGGCAAGAGTTTCTGGCACTTGGTGTTAAATTCTGGAACTCAGGAGAAGCTCAAGAGGGAGGCGAAGTCAAGCATCACAAAGACAATTTTCACCAAGTGTCGTCGTGTCTGGGATCCGAGGTTTAGTAGGGTTCGGACGCGGCCGGGGCTGCCTAATGTGGCGTCTCGCGGGACCAATAGAAAACGAGGGTGAGAGCAGTGTTACCAGGACCACACTCCTAGACATCTTACTTATTCTTTATCAACCACTCAATCGCCTTTAAGAATCTAAAACCTAATAAACAGTAACTATATTATTTATCCGTTGTGATGGCTGAAGTGTTGGGTGTCTAGTGTAAGAGGAAAGAAGACATGGGAGGTGGTGTTGAAGGCCTGAGGAGAGGACAGCTATCCACCTTGGCGACGGTGTGAAAGAGTCGTAGGGTGGGGGTGGCAGATACCTCCACCTATAACTAATGCTCCACACTTCATAGCCTCTAACTCCCTTTTTATGTCGTTATAAACTTTGCCATAGACACTAGCGGAGACATGTGGAGGGAGTCATCACCCCAGTTGTATATTTTGACCCCTGAGAACAGTCTAAATAGTGGTGAGAGGTGAGACTATCTGGGGCAAGTGAAGACACATCAGCCGAAGCAGTGATGGCACAGTATTGAACAGGAGAGAGAGGAGGAGGAGGACTGGATGTGTCGCCCAAGACGTTCTGCTGCTTCTCCGCTGTTGAATCCCCTTTAATTTATAGATTTTTCCCGGCTAACCTATTGGAAGAATCATCTACTATACTCTATCTTTCTCTAAAAAAAACATTTATTTAACTGTTTCTCCTACTTCAATAGCGCTTTTACTCTTAGTACTTGTAAAAACTGAAAGAGGCAGGAGTCTCCATTATGTTTTTAAATAGACATTAACTAACGTATCCCTCCTCAAAAAAAAAATCTAAACTATTATTTTTTATTGTTTTTACTACATCAATAACACTTTAATTATATTTGTATACATCAACTCAGCTACTCCAAAAAACATATCTCTTTTCTCTAAAATTAAAACAACAACTTTTTTTCATCCGTAAAAATCAATAACACCCAATGGTGGTGAGTTGTGGTGGTGGTGGTGGTGGTTGTGGTGGTAGTGGTGGTGTGTGTCGGTGGTGGTGGTTGTTGTTATTGTTTTAGTGATGATGCTGATAATAGTAGTAGTAGTAGTAGTAGTGGTAGTAATAATGGTAGTAGTAGTAGTAGTAGTAGTAATCGTAATATTGGCTATTATAATGGTAGTAGTAGTAGTAGCATCAGTAATAGTAATGGTCGTAATAGTGATTGTTATAATAGTAGTAGCAGCAGTAGCAGTAGTAGTGGTAGCAGTAATAGTAGTAGTAATTTTAGAAATACTGTGACTACCTTACCATCACCATTAACAGATAACATTACACATTACTCCCCTTGTTCCTACTACTGCTACTGCTACTTCCTCTACTACTGCTGCTACTTCCTCTACTACTACCGCTACTTCCTCTACTACTGCCGCTACTTCCTCTACTACTGCTGCTACTTCCTCTACTACTACCGCTACTTCCTCTACTACTGCTGCTACTTCCTCTACTACTACCGCTACTTCCTCTACTACTACCACTACTTCCTCTACTACTACTGCTACTTCCTCTACTACTACCGCTACTTCCTCTACTACTGCCGCTACTTCCTCTACTACTACCACTACTGCTACAAGATCAGAAAGAACAACAAGAGGGTGATATATTTACACGGAGAGGAGCAGAACTTAAGCCAGGGGGTAATGAAGGTGGGGTCGGACTATCGTGGCTCGTAGGTACGTCTCGCGGAGGATTGAGGCTAAATTCTTTATTGGTGTGAACGTCGGCAAAAGTTGTGGTTTATTAGAGGAGGTGAGATTACTGCCTGCTGGGGATCACCTACTCCTTGTGGGCGATAGTGGGGGGGGCGGTTAGGTCTCGAGAGGGGAGGGGTGGGGAGAGGTCTTGAGGGGGGGGAGGATGGAAGAGGTAGGTGGGGTGGTAAGTCTCCAGAAGGGGTGGGGGTAGAGGGAGTGTGGGTGGTGGTAGGTGGTGGTAGGTGGTGGTAGTAGGTTTTAGGTGGTGGTAGTAGGAGGTGTTAGGTCTCATATAGCACCTAAGGAGAAAATATAAAAGTTGATTGAAATAATAATAAAAAAAATAATAGAATGGGATAAAATAAAATAAGTGATAATAAATAAAAGTAACAGGAAAAATAAAATAAAAAGATAAAATCGTCAAACAAACAGAATAAAAAAAATCATCAATGTTTTCTTTATTAATTATCTCTTCTACTCCCAATTTGTCTTATATTTTCGTTATCTCCTTTTTCTTTATTATGTTCCAATTCCTTTCTAAGAAGACGTAAATTATTGAAAAAGAGATAAATTACTATAAAAATATACTCTCTCTCTCTCTCTCTCTCTCTCTCTCTCTCTCTCTCTCTCTCTCTCTCTCTCTCTCTCTCTCTCTCTCTCCTAATTAATTCTTCATTCTAGTCAATTTTTTTCTCCCATGTGATTCCTTTAGTCTAATAATAATAATAATAATAATAATAATAATAATAATAATAATAACAAAATAATCACAACAACAACAATAATAACAAAAATAACAACCCAAAATAA